GTGTGTGTGTGTATGTGTGTGTGTGTGTATGTGTGTGTGTGTGTGTATTAGCCTACATCCCAGCTGGCAGTGGCCCCTGTGCCCCCCGCCCGCCTCACCTCTCATGTTGATCACCAGTGCCTTCCTCACGGCCTCAGTGATGGTCCTCACGGCGTCGCTGTGGGCCGGGATGTAGGCCAGCTCCCAGGAGCCTCCCGGAGGAGGGAAGGTGAAGAAGAGGGGCAGCTCTTGGATGGACTGGCCAGGGTAGATGGTAGCGTTGGGGACATCTTCTGACTGGATTTTCAGGCGGAGCCAAATCAGGATCCCCGAGAACAGCAAGGGCAGGAAGATTTCCAGCACGGTGACCAGGACCTTCCGCTTCTAGAGAGGAAAGGCGGGGGCGTGGTCACACTGCTGCCAGCCGGGGGCCACTGGGCCACTCCCTGAATGAGGCAAACCGGTCAGGGCAGTGGGGTCCCTAGCTGGTGCACCCTGCGAGGCCGAGGCCATCAGCCCCACTCCAGCCTCTGAGGAGGGGCCTGGCACCCTGCTACTGAAAGAACGAACCACTGGAAACCCGTGGGCATGGATGCTGCAGGCCGACCTCTGAGGGCAGGGGTCAGCAGGCCAGCCCCTGAGACGCTGTGGCCACGGGTCCAGAGCCCCCATCGCAGCCGAGTGTGCGTAGGGGTCAAGAGAATGGATGGCCCAGGAGTTTGAGTCCCCCGGGGCCTGCCGAGGTGGCGCCCACACTGACCCGTACCCCGTGAGGGGCGCCGCAGCATGGGGCGATAATGCGCGGGGTCTTGAGATAAATGCGACGCATGGAGACATGCAGCGAGCACATGTGGTTGGACACGTCATGCCCCCAGACGTGCTGGGCACAGGGCTGCCACCAGCCTCGGGTCTGCACCGCGCCCCACAGTCAGGCCTGGCTGAAGCCAGCCCAGGGGCAGTGGGTTTGTCCAGGGTAGCAGAGAACTCAGCGGTGGCTGGGGACCAGTGGGGCGGGGAGGGAGGAGCAGCTGAGAGGAGCCCAGGGCACTTCCAGGACAGTGACACTGTCCGGTGGGGCAGTGGTTTCACAGGGGGGACACATGACATGATGCGTCTGTCTGTCTGTCTGTCGACACAGAGAGAACCTGACGGAAATGCCCGGCTTTGTGTCCACAGTGAGGCCCCGGTGGCTCTGCCCCAGCAGTTTCAGGTGCCGAGGACAGCACCTGCAGTGGCGGGACCTGCCTGGGGCTGGGGGTGCTAAGTAACATCCGAGCTGGAGTCTGGTCCTCAGCCACACTCCAGGTCTGGGACTGGACACAAGCACTCCAGGGTGGCAACCACTGAAGGGAGGGAGGTCCACCGTAGACGCGTCACATATTTGAGAGCCAAGGGCAGCAGTTACCCAGAGACCAAGTTGAGAGAGGGAAGGGGCAGGGGGTGGACACAGGAAACACAGGGGCGCAGGGGTCGAGGCCACTGAGATGGAATAAAACAAGTCAGGATTATTGAGCAGAAACGTGAGGAGCGATTCCGTGGGCCTTGGGCAGCCCATGATGGAAGTGAGGAAGACCCAGGGCGGCGTGGGAGGGCTAGGCCACTGAGTCCCCTCCCTGGAACCCTCTTCCTGCTCAGGCTCATGCCCACCTGCAGCGTGTAGTTCTTCCAGAGGAGCAGGGCCAGCTGCCGGGGGGCCGCCATCTTCTGCTGGAGAGGTGGGGGTGCACAGCTCTGGGGGAGGACCAAAGACAGGCTCTCAGGGCGTGGGCGCCGTGGAGACGGCTGGAGTGGGGCTGCTACGGAACAGTCGGCGGTGAGTCCAGCCATCATTGGGAGGGAGACAGGTGCTGCGGCCTGCTTCTGTGAAAAGCTTTGGTATCCAACGGGCAGCATTTGGCTAACCCACAGCTCAGGAGGCAGGGAGGATGAAGGGAAATGGGGAACCGAGGGAGGGCATGGGTGAGCAGGAGCTTGGGACCCAGGCCATGCGACAACCTGTGGATGGGCGGCTGGGTGGGAAGCGGGTGTGCTCCGTAGGCTGGCCCCAAAGCACAATGACAAGTGAAAAATAAAAAACGACAGACGTCGAAGGCCCATGGGACAGTTCTAACTCTCTCACACAGCGTTCCTCTGAGTCAGAATCGCCTTGACGGCAGCGGGTTAGGTTTCTGGCCTTCGTGCAGACCGGCGCAGACCGGCGCGGTGGAAGGTAGAAGACCCGGCACCAAACACAGCTTCTCTTCCTCCTCCTTCTCTTTCTCCTGTCTCTCTCTTTTTTTTTTTTGGTACCAGCTTAACTCACAACCAAGGAGCCCTAGTGGTGCAATGGGTTAAACACTTGCATGCCAACCCAAAGGCTGGTGGTTTGAACCCACCCAGCTGCTTGGTGGCAGAAAGACCTGGCTGTTCCCATCGAGAGACCAGGCTCTGTCAACCAAGCACGCATGCCGACGTCGTTCAGTGAACCTGGCAACGACTGTGTGCCCTGAGCATGGTTCTCTTTGAAGAACAATCTAGAGGAGGTCAGAGCGACAACAGTACTGGGAGAGTTAGACGGGAGCCTTAGGGGCCCTGAGGGGGTGGGCACGGGGAAAGGACCACCCAGAGAAGGAGGGTGAGGAAGGTCACACCACCGACGCCACTGAACCGCTCGCACACGGAGAGACGGCTGGATTGGTGGCGCTTTGCAGTGTGGAAGCAGCCTTGTGATGACGAGTTGATTACGTAGTGGTTACGAGCCGGCTGCAATCTGCATGGTCGGCAGTTCAAAACCACGAGAGCTCTCTGGGAGTAAGACGGGCTTTCTCCTCCCATTAAAATGATGGTCTCGGGAGCTCTCCCTGCTCTACGGGCCGGCGAGTCTGGACGGCTCCATGGCAGGTGTGCGCCTTCACAACCGCCACCACAGCCACCAAAGTAAACTGCCACTGGTGTTGTTTCATCGCAGCCCAGGAAACCGTGCGGCGGCTGGGCTCTAAGTCAGCAATGGCTGCAGTCCCAACAACTCAAGATGGGAGCGACAGCCAGACGAGACCTTGGACCCTGAGCCACCGTGACCTCTCAAGTTCTACTCTGCCCACTCAAAGAAAGTGGATGCTTTGATAGAGATTTCTAATTCTCAGAGCCCTCATGGGCAAGGTAGACTGCCCCACAGGGTTTCGAGGCAGTAAATCTTTAAAGAGCAGAGGGCCCATCTTTCGCCCAAAGAGCGGCACATGGGTTTGAACCCGCGGACTTCAGGGTCAGCAGCCTCATGATTAAACTGTGGTGCTTCCAGGGCTTGGGACTGTTCTCGGGGCGTCTGCCTCTCACTGTTTCTGTAGTCTGGGGGAGGGGGGGTCTGCTCTTTATGAGCCACGTGCTCCTCTACCAGCACATCACCCAGGTTCACAGACTCCCTCTCCCTGCCCCGACTGGCTCCACCCCGTCCACACCAAAGACCCAGCCCACAGCGGCCCTGGAGGACGGGAGAACTACCCCTGCGGGCTCCCAAGACAACCTCTTCAGGAGACTCTCATCCTCATGGCAGGAGAAGCCTTGTCTTTCTCCTGAAGGCACCGGTGGTTTCCAAGTGTGGACACTGTGCCCCACGATGCCACCCCAGCTGCAGTGTGACTCCTAAGACTTAGACATGACTGCGGTTGGGGTTTGGGGTGGAATTAGGGTGGCTCAGGAGCAGGACAGGGTATGCCATGCCCAAGTGAAGGAAGAATGATCTAGAATTACCAGGACTCCCCCCACCCCTCACCCACCCCTGAATCCTAAGAACCAGTTTTTCCTGTTTTCCTGAGCACTGACACAGAACCGCCCCCCCACCCCCACCCCTGGCACTGCCACCAAACTGCCCCATTTTCCCACCATCAGACTGTACCACTTCTCTAAAGAAGACTCATCCAAACACCTGACCCTATATGATGCCGAAGGGGATTATAAACCTGGCCCAGACCCCAGGGGGAGATTCAGCCAGAGGATGCTGGGCGTGCTGACAGCAGGGGCAGGGGCTTCGGCCAGGCCTCTGTCCCCCTTCTCCCCAGTTTGGTTCAGTCCACTGTGCCCAATTTCAAGTGTGGGCCCCCCACACCCACCCTGCCTGGGTCCTCAGCTGCTGACCTTTGAGAGAAGCAGGGTGGGATTAGTGCAAGCAGCCTCCTTGGTGCCTGGGTGTGGGGAGGGGCTGGTTCCGGACGGACGCTGAAGGCATGGGATTGAGGTGCGGCCAGGCAGCTCAGGTCTAGGGCAGGTACGCGAGGCTCCTGGTCATCGCTCCCACGGGAGCTTCGGGTGAGGACAAGAGGCCCTTCAAGGGGAGAGAAGCAAGGGCTCAGCACGAGGGTCTCACAGTTCACATTCATCACTGCCCTGGTCACCCCCACACCCCGCCTCGGACCCCATCCCAGCCATCCCCGCATCCTACCCCTGCCACCCTCCACCCCACCTCTGACCCACCCTCCATCCCACCCGTCTCATAACCACAGCCGACGAGTGGATTCCGAGTCCCAACGACTAGCTCAGAGCAGAACAGCTCTGCAGGGTTTCTGAGGCCGACGGTCCTGGTGGGAGCAGACTGCCTCCTCTCCCTCTAGTGTGTGCGAACCGCCAACCTTGTGTTTAACAGCTGATCCTTGGGACCCTGGGAAATCCTTGAGGCAGCCCCACTCAGTCGCATGGGGTGACCCACCGCCAGCACCCAGAAGCAGGGTCAGAAAGGCTCGCGGATGAGGCAGATGTGAGAAGGTTCCAGCAGCAGCAGTTTGGGCTGAAAGGGGTGGACAGCACCTCAGCCTGGGGGCTTGGGACTGGCTGTCCCTGTGAGGGTGGGACAGGGGCTGGCTGTCCCCGTGGGGGTGGACAGGCAGCAAGCTGGTCTGAGATGGGGGCGCTCCTTGCACCAAGGCCCACATGTAGATGGACCCTCAGGTCAGAACACTATTGGACCCTTTCTCGCTTTCACGAAAACCCTGGGAAGGAGGAGACAGCCCCCGGGAACCCTGAGACAAGGACATTCAGTGCGCTTTCCCCTCCAAGGGCTGACCTGCGTCTTGGGGAGAGGCTCCTGGCAGCAGCGGCTGGTCCTCGGGCTCACGGGAGAAGTGGCTAGAAGGCAGTGACGCTGGGCAGTGGGCCCCGGGGCGGGGCAGGCAGGCCACTTGAGTGTGGATGGGCGGCACGGGTGTTCCAGGGTGCTGGCGCCTTGCCGGGCATCTGGAGAGACTGGGGGGCAGCTGGCATGGCTCTCAGGCACCTGGGGACAGGCGGGAGCAGTGTGAGCAGATCCCAGGACAGCCGCCCGCCCTTCTGACTGGAGAGCTGGAGGACTGAGTCTGGGACGCAGCAGAGGGGCTGCTCTGTGCCTGCTCTGACGCTTGCCCTGGTAGTGCTGGGCGGTAAGTGCCAGGCTGTCGCTCAGGAGAATGACAGGAGCTGTCTGCTCCTGTAAAGACTGATGGCCTGGTGTCCCTGCAGAGGGTTAGTACAAGTCAGAGCGGACTCGATGGTAACGGGTGTGGACACCACGGGAGTCCTGGTGGAGCAGTAAGCCCTGCGTCAGGCTGCGAGCCGGAAGGGCATCGGTTCGAGCCCACCAGTTGCTCCATGGGAGAGTGGTGAGAAGACTGAGCCTCAGAAACTCCGTGGGGGCAGTTTCACCCTGCCCCACAGGTCTCTGTGTTGGAAGGGACTCGGCGGCAGGGGTGTGTGTGGTATAATAAGAACCAAGAAGCCTCAGGGCTGCACTGTGTGTGACATAGCAGGACCGCCTCCACGGGGCTTTCCAGGGGCAGCCTCCGGCCTTACATCCATGCATACAGCCCGCTTGTCCACACACGCCAGCCACACTGCTCTCGCTGGTGTTCTGGTCAGACAGTGGCCTTCCAGTGGGCTTTGGCTTCAGGCCTCATCCTGTTGTGGACGTGCAAGGGAGAGGGCAGCAGAGCTGCACTGTCACGTCTGTTCTCAGCCGGCCACGAGGGTCCCCTGAACCCTCGGGATGCCTGTAAGTCGTAAAGCAAACCTTACACCCACTGCCGCCAGTTCATTCAGGCCCAGTGACCCCACGTGACGCTTCCAAGGGTGTGAATCAGACAGCCTCATCTTTCTCCCCCAGAGCAACGTGGAGGGTTTGAACCGCCTGCCTTGGTGCTGGCAGCCCAATGCTTACCCCACTGCAGCAACAGGGCTCCTTGCTCAACATTGGGAAAAAAGACAAACCAAACTGCCTGCCATTGAATCTATTCCGCCGCACCGCGGAACAGGGTCGCGTCCCCCTGTGCGTCTCCCAGACTGCAACTCCGGTGGGTTTAAACTGTGGACCATGCGGTGAGTCGCTCAACGTGGACCCACTAAGTTCAGTGACTTACTCTTTGCTTTCAAATAACCGCCCCAACCCAGGCCACTGCGGTCAAGTTGATGCTGGCTCATGGTGAGCCTGCGGGATGGAGGGTTCCCGAGGTTGTCCTCTGTACAGATGCAGACAGCCCCAGCTTTTTTCCACGGACTGGTTGGTGGGTTTGAACAGCCAGCCTTGCTGTTAGCAGTCCAACACCTAACCCAAAGCGCCACCAGGGCTTCTGCAAGTAGCCAACGTCTCATACGCCCTTTACGTGCTGTTTGCAGATGTCCCGACAGTAAGCTACCAGGAGACAGAGCACCCCTGCTCCCCACCCTATGAGCAGCCCAGCTGCAGGTGGGGTCTTCTTGTTCTTGGCCCGCCTTCCCGGGGTCCAAGTATCCCCTTCCATGCACACGCTTCTTGGAGCAGAAGGAATGTCAAGGAGGTCCAGAATGACGAAACCCGGCGGCTCTCTGGTTACGACAGTGAGTGGACATGGAGAGGGAAGTGGGGGTTCCTCAAAAACACTCCACACCTCAACACGGGGTTCTCAGAAATGGTCTTGGCCCTGTTCCAGAGTGGGGGCAGCTCTCAGCCAACCTCCCCCCCTCCACCATTTCCCAGGCGGCCCCACTAGCCTGACAAGAGCAGCTCCGAGAAGTCCTCTTCAGCTCGGCAGGAAGGGGAGGGCCCTCCCTGTGGGCTCTCTGCCCCTCCCGTACTACCCAGCTTACAAGGGTGTTTGCTCCCCATTCAAAGATTAACCAGCTCCGGGTCATCAGGCAGCTCAGTGTTTGCTCTGCGGGGGGTGGAGCGGCCGTCAGGGGGTGCTCTCAATGCAGGCTGCAGGCTGCTCATTCCAGCCAGGGGCTCTCCTGAAAGTTGCCTCCCCAGCTCACAGGCCTGCCTGTGGAGGGCAGGGATCCCACGGGTCAGCAACCAAGGAGTACTGAGGGGCGCAGTGCAAGGCCAGTGCTTCTAACCTACCAGCCAGAGGCCGTCTGCTCCCCCAAAGCTTTGCAGTCTGGAGGTTGGGGGGAAATAGGGAGCTAATACCAAATACAAGAAAGAAGAGAATGGTTTCAAATTGACTGTGGTGACGGTTGTACAGCTCTTCTTGATATGATTAAACTGTTTTATTGTAGATGTGAATTATATGCCAATAAAACTGCTAAAAAAATAAAAATAAGACAGGTGCAGACGGAGCAGGGAAAACAAAGCTCTGACCTCTGGAACCAGTGGAGCGGCAGTTGACTGGGCCACTAGGGGTGGGCACCGCCTCCAGAGCGGTGGGCGGGGTGAGCAGGTACTCACAACTCCTCCCCACTCACCTGAGCCCGACGCCCAACCCTCTACCCTCCAGGGATGCTCCCTTGTAGGGAACCTGCAAGACAGGGTAGAACTGCCCCCAGGGTTTCCAGCTCGGTGAGGGAGAGACAGCCAGGTCTCTCTTCCTCTGGTCACTTCCTCTCTTCTCATCTGGCCTTTTGTTTCTCGGCGACACACTTGACCCCTGAGCCACTGGGGCACCTTGCCTACCCCCCTAGCGGGGTCCTTAGTGAAACGGACACAAGATGTTCTGGAGTGCTGGATGCATCCACTGCTGACCTTCACGTTTTTGAAGCACGGACTTTTTTAAAGGCCCCGGTAAAAGGGTGTTTTCCCTTGTGTGCAGATCCACCGGAGTGGGGCGAGCGAGCCTGCAAGGTTCCCGCTGACAGGGCAATCAGGACCACAGTCTCGGGGTACACAATGGCTGCCTCGCATAACATAGTGCACAAGGGCGATGCTCTACGTCTACCTGGTTACGTGGCAACTGGGGTCTTAAAAAGCTCGTGGGCAACCATCTAAGGTGCACATACTGGTCTCCCTCAGTAGAAAGAAACAGGAAATCATGCAGTCCAATGGGTTAGTGGGCCACACAAACATCAGTCTCCACACACCTGAGACCTGAACGAGATGGTGCCGGCGACATTACAATGTCCTGGACAGAGAGGGCGAGGAATGGGGAAAATCACTCAAAATTACAAAAGACACCAGGCTTCCTAGTGGCTGCAGACTGGTGGGATCCTGGACGATGGGTCCTCTCGTGGCTCACCCCCATGCTAGGATAATCCACTTGGGGGATGGAAAGGGCAGCACTCACCCCAGGTCAAAGTTCAGAAGGTTAGGAAAGGTGGCAGGCGGGGTGGCACCAGGAGATGCAGGGAGGAAGTGGGGTAAAGGGATGTCGCAGGGAGGAACTGCAGTGGATGAGATGGGACATCGTATGCTGGAGCCGTGGACTGTAAAACCCATAGCCTGCTCTGTAGACCTTCACCTCCTTCACAACGGAAAACTTTAAGAGTATAAAAAGGTCACTACTGGGTGGGTAGACATGTGGGGTCGCGGTGAGAGGTGTGGTGGGCTCCTTTGTATCCAGGGCCAGGCACATGTCCACACCCCCATGGTTAGAAAGGGGTTTCAAAGGGAGCAGGGGACCACAGCCATGCCTAATCGACCACAGGTGTGGGATACTTGGGTCCGACCCCACCAACCTCCCCACGGGAGAAAGAGGAGGCTGTTTGCTTCCATGAAGATTGACAGCCCCAGACCCTTGTGGGGCTGATCCACTCTGCTGCACGATCGCCGGGACTGGGGGTCGACTTGACGGTGGTGGTGGTGGTGGTGGTGGGGTTGGGTCTTTGGTTTGAGGACCCACACTGCAGGCAGGACAGCGTCTTGGTCCTCCAGCTGGGGTGGCCCCGGCAGAGGCCCTGGGCTGAAGTCTGCTGGTCAGCGGGGGTGGGGAGGCCGTCATAAGACCATAGGGAAATGAAAGAGAATGTTGGCCGCCCTCGTGGCTGGCAGGAGGCTACAGGGGAGCAGCAGGTGGGGCTGGGCCAGAAACAAAGCAGATCAAGGCCACGGTCCGCTGAAGGGGAGGAAGGGGCCTGGGGACACCATATCTGCAGCAGTGAGATGGGGGCAGGTTTTTATATTTTGGGGGGGGGTGCAGAATAAACATTTGCAAAGATCTAAGTCAGCCCCAATACCAGTCTGCCCGAAAGGAAACCTGGTGAAGACGGCCAGCATGTTTAAGGGGTATTGGGTAACCCCCGTGAGCCCCACTATTGTTGGGTCTTGTAAGCATCACCCTGGCTTGTAGAGGCCGTGTAGGACAGAGTAGGACTGCCCCTTGGAGTCCCCGGGGCTGTGTGCTCTGCAGGGAAGCAGGCTGCCTCCTCTCTCCCACAGAGGGGCCGGTGGACTGGAACTGCCGGCACTTCTGTTAGAAGCGGGGTGCTTAACCACTGTGCCACCACAGTGGATGGAACCTGATTGTCAGGGGAGTTGATTCCGACTCTAGCAACCCTACAGGACAGAGCAGAACAGTCCCGTGGGTTTCTGGGAGTAGAAGGCTCATCTTTCTCGCCCCCCCGATTCGTAACCCACTAAACTACCAGGGCTCCTTTGTGGTTGTCAGGTGCCAGCGAAGCAGTGAGCCTGCCCTGTGCCACCACCCCAGCCTCACGGCTGCCATTAGGTCTGTGTCCAGCCGGCTCCTTGAGGGCCTTCTTCTGTTTGCACACACGCTCCATCCTTTCCCAAACAGGATGTCTCTCTCTGAGCCCTCGGACAGCATGTCCCAAGTGTGTGTGTGAGCAAGCCTGGCCAAACGCACTCCGAAGGCGCCTCCCGGCTGCCCTGCTTGTCACACGATTTGCTGCTGTCCACTTGACCACACGTGGCTCATTGTTCTCTCAAAGCATGTGGTGCGCAATGACGGCCTTCGCTTCTGATTAGGCTCCATGAGTCTGTGGTTGATAAGGTTCTCAGTGGCCAACGCTTTTGTCAGCAGTTGGCCGCCAGGCTCTTCCCCTTAGCTTCTGAGAGGCTCTGGTGAAGCCTTCCCACTACGAGCGAGCCTGCTG